TGCCTCACGATGCATCACCATGGTTTCAGTTTGTGTGTTCCTGTCCTCCCTGTTGTCTTTCCTGCGTGTGTGTTTGTGTTCATGTGTTTATCCGCAGATTGAATCTGGCCCACAGGGCTACAGTACGCACACACGGGACCCGGAGGTTCAAACAAGACCCCAGAGAGACCGGGGCCCTTTTTACATCTGCTAACAGCTCTGCCTCCAGCACAGCGTCCCTCTCCCTCTGTGTGTGTTTACTCCTCAGCTAATTGAGATCTAATTGCTGTAACACGGAGTAAAGCCCAAGCCCAAGCCGTCACCGGGGAAATATCGCTAACAGCCAGCTCCTCCCGCAGGGGATTGTGGGTAGCAGAGATGTCAGAGCTATTTAGTCTCAAAGCAGAGGATATGAAAACAAACTTTGCAGATTCAATAAACGACCACAGAGATTAAAACACGCCACAAGCATGACAAAGTTCAATCCCGGTAAACTGAAAACAAAGATCTGCAAATCTGCTTCGTGTTCACCAACTTAATGCCCTGTGAAATCCATCCATCTCCTCAGGTAGTTGACCACAAACATTTCGCCACTTTATGACATCTTGATGAGTGGTGGGGTCTTAATAAAGCGGAGCAGCAGAGTTCAATCAGGTATTGAAATAAGCCGAGCTAAGTGCTTCTACGGTATCTGCCTCAGAGGCGGATGTTGCCGACCGAAGAGAGACGATCATCAATGGCATGAAAAAGAGATGAGGTATTGATATAGTTATGAAACCAATGTTTCAAAACATGCCACATCATCAGCACAGCAAGATGAGATATTAAATATACATCTTCCTTTCACAGTGATTATAGAATTACAACTCAGAGAGAGAGAGAGAGAGAGTGATGCAACTAAAACCATTAACTGATCCTACTTCTCACAGGCTGATGAAGACGTTTTGCTCACAGCAGAGTTGAGTTTAAAGGGCCGTACTTTTAGTTCTGCATGTTTTAGCTCATTATTTAATCACATTGCTGTTTCTTTCTACTGTTCCAGAGAGAAATATAGCAAAATCTATTAGAAGACTCCTGAAACCTGCTTGAGTTCAAGCTTTCTTAGATTCATTTTTCGTATGGGCTTTTATGCATTTTCGTAAATGTATTTTCTGTACTTTTACCATCGATTTGCAAGGGGCCCCAGGGCAAAAAAAAAAGTTGCTGAGCCTTTTTGAATCCCCCTTTCCTCTCACTTTCTGTGCAATGTGTCCAGTTTTTCTATGTTGAATACTACCTAAGCCCGGATATAATGTGTTATAATCTCATTAAAATCCTTAATTTAGGAATATACAACATGTAAGCACAAAACTGAAATACTGACGTTCTTAAAGGTGTGTATGATTTAGGAGGATGGAATATGCTGTCATTAGTCAGTAATTACCTGTAATTACCTAGAAATAAGAATAAAAAAAAAATAGATTTGACACAGGGACCCTCTGCAAGACAGGACCTCAAAACCAGGATGACAAGGACCCACCTTAAGGCCCTTATCATGACAGCTGATATTGCCTTAGTTGTGGATATTTTAAATTAAAGGACCAGTGTGTCAGATTTAGTGGCATGTAGTGGTAGAAGTTGCAGATTGCAATTAACTGAACACCAGTCACACTGTGTGTGTAGAAGAAACTACAGTGACCGCAAAACTCACAAGCTCTACCTACCGCCATGTTTCTACAGTAGCCCAGAAGGGGCATACCAAACACTGGCTGAAGATCAGGCCTTTCATGTTTTTCATGAGTTTCGCAGCCACTGTAGTTTCTCGTATACACTTCACAGCCTGTTCTCATTCCCAGGTCGGTAAATAGAGACCCCACCAGTGTTCAGTTAGTTGCAATCTGCAACTTCACCACTAGATTCCACTGAATCCTAAAACTGCACAAACATAGGGCTGAAAACATTGCCATGATCATTTATTTGTGGCTCTTACATGCTGGAGAGTGAAATTAAGACTCAACATGCATGTTAAAAATGACAATAACGATGCTTTACTATCCGAACAAGCATGTATCAACTGCCCCGCCCTCCCCACCGCCTCATGATTGATCTATAAAACCAACCAGTTACCACTGTCAG